GTAAAACCAATCCAAACCTAGAATAAAATCAGAAAAATGTTAAAACACATAAGAAAATTAATGAACAGGTTAAACAAGGAGAGACTAAAGAAGTAGTTTTTTTAAGAGAAAAAAATATTAATGGCTATGTGTTTCAATGAGAGACACCAGGTATACTAAAATAAAGAAATCTGAAAATACACTCGTAACTTTGTGTTTGCTATAATTATGTTACTTAAATTATATGAAGATGTGGTATGCTAATTATAAAATAACATAAATGATATGGGAATGTTCTCCCATTTTGGCATATTTTTTTCTTTGTTGTCATTTAAATGTCATTTTATAGCTACAGTGACAGTGTTCAAAAATATGCCTCAAAGGAACAATGAAAAAAATACCAGGGAGCTCAAATGTTTTTGCAAATTACCCTGGTTAATTAGAAAAATCTGCACCCTTCCCAGTTCTTCTTCTCACGTGTCAGCTCTCATTAAATTAAAAAATTCTCATTTCAAAGTTAAGAAGTCCTATGGTTACAAAATGTTTAAACTGGGACCAAGTGGGCACATTGCTATGTTTCTGTATGATGTCATACCAAGTAGTGTGCAGCTGAATTTGAATTTGCAAGAAGTATGAATGATTTCTTAATAAGAAGTATCTGATCTAATGCTAATTTTTTCTCCATAGGCTAACTGTGCGGGGAACAGGTGGCCCTGCTTTCAATTATGGAGGGCTAGTGTGCCAGTGTGAGGCCTGGATTAGTTCACCTTCTCATGGGGAATTTTCCTCGGTTGGGAATGAATTTATTATGGCTTCACACATGGAATAGAGCTCATGTCAGCTGAGGGCAGTGACACATCATATGATTCAAATTAACCTGCTGTGGACTGTTCTGCAGGGCTTAGATTGTGTATTAAAATGACGACATTTTAAAAACAGCTTGAAAGAAACCAGGATTGCTGAACTGCGATGGTTCCAATTTGTTCCAACTAATCTATCACCTGCTGGAGATATTATTCTAGTGGGTTTCTAGTAGCTGCTGTTTTCCAGGTTTCTCCAAGCCACTGACCTTGCTAATGGGTACAATTGTTGCCTCTGAAGGATGGAAGTGGGGCTGAGAGAGCTTTGAAGGGGTTTCTGATGTAGAAGTTGGGACCTACCATTTGCTCGAAGGAACTTATTAAGTAAGTAGAGGAAATAAGGGAATACTCAAGAACTTGAATAATTTTTCCAAAAACAAATGCCAAAAGAGCAGCATTTTAATCACCTTGTTTAGATAAAATAATCTCTGAAAGGCTGAATTCCATGTCTCTGGATCGATTTTGTTCATCAGTTTATTTTGTTCATTAGATTCAACATGTAAGTGAGATCATGTGATACTTGTTTTTTTCTGACTGGCTTATTTTGTTTACTTTTATTGTTATTGCAGCCTTAATTCAAGAGCAAGAAAATAATAAATGAAAATATACTATTTTAAAGATGTAGCATAAAACTGTCTTTGGAAATGATACTGAAAAATATGCGCAATAGCTAAAAAAACTAATGGTGGCAAATGATTACTTGCAATACTAAAAAAAAGCATTTCCATTTTTTTTTCAGGAGAAAATAGTATTAGGGAATATTATAAAGTTGAAATTTGTCCCTCCTGTCTCAACATAAATAATATTCCTTTTAATATACTATTACCTAAAATCTGGACAAAATATAATTTTCTTGAGTGGCCAAAAATCTAAAAATTAATACATCCATAAGGCAAGACATGCTTTAATCTATCCTATTATTCCTATTGATCTCTAAATTAGTATAGAGTGGCAATCTGGCTGTGTAGTCAGAGAATATAATTATTCTATGGGATAATATATATATATATATACATATACATATACATATATACATACATACTAGTAGCCCTATGCATGAATCTGTGCATCAGTAGCTCACCAGTAGCTCGCTGCAGCCCTCCAGTAGCTCTCCGCCCGCTGTCCCGCTCTCCTGTACCTCCCTCTTCCCCCCACACCCCGGCAAAGCTTGCTTCCCTGCTCCCTCCTGTAGCTCTCCATGGCCCATTTGTAGCTCCCTGCCCCACCCTCCTGCTGATCTGTGATCCGGTCATTACGTTTCAAGGAGTAATGACCATTTGCATATTACATCTTTATTATATAGGATATACTTACATATACTTTAAATAATAGTTATGGTTAAGGAACTTTCTATCTAAGAGTAAATTCTGGAGTAGTTCAAGTTTGCTGGGTTAGTGCTTTAGTGGAACCTGTACAGCTGATATGTCATCCAAACTAATATCCCCTCAATTTACAAAAGATAAGCACTCTTGATTAAAAGAAACTTAGAAGAACTGGACTCTTAGACTATGAAGAACTATAACCATTCACTGAACATTGTTTTTGATTTTTCATAAAAAAGTACCATTTAAAAAAAACGATTCATCATTCTCTTCTCCTGTGCCCCCAAGTATCTGCAGATTGGCTCTCAATATTAGTAATTGATGGTATTAAGAAAATCACAGACATGCATATTTTTCTTTCATATATGAGTCATATAAAATCTTGGTACAAAAAGTCGAGTCTCCAGAGTCCCCGTGGTCGGCAAACTGTGGCTCGCGAGCCACATGCGGCTCCTTGGCCCCTTGAGTGTGGCTCTTCCTAAGCCTTAGGAGTACCTAATTAAGTTAATAACAATGTACCTACCTATATAGTTTAAGTTTAAAAAATTTGGCTCTCAAAAGAAATTTCAATCATTGTACTGTTGATATTTGGCTCTGTTGACTAATGAGTTTGCCGACCACTGCTCCAGACCAATAGCACCCGCTTACTTGGGAGCCTGTAAGCAATGCAGAATTTATTTCATCACTACCTTCTAGGACTATTAAATTACATTTTTATTTTAACAAGCTCCCCAGAGATACTTCAAATGCACACTCAGGTCTGAGAAGCACTGCTGTAAAATAACTATTTCAATTCATTTATTTAGAAGTTTGAATCTCCAGATAGATTATCACTATTACTGAATGAACAAAAGATTAGAAATGGCATATATGTAATTTCCAATTTAAAAAAGTATAGGAAACATAAAGCAACTATTTTTAAAAATCACATTTCTACTACACAGTCATTTTAAATTCTAGAATTATAAACATATAATTTTTGATTCATTCATTGACATTCTTAACATTCAATTTATTTGATTGCCATGAAAATATGGTAAACAATTTTCCACTGACTTGCAGATCCCATTCAAGTCAGTCAAATGTAAAATAGAAGAGAACTTTTTAGCCAGATTGAAAGACTGCCTAAAAATAAAAGAAATCTGATACCATGAAAGAGAAATAAGAGGTAAACCCTAGTCTCCCAGTTACTTTCCCATTAACAAACCATATGATCTTACCCTATTTTATCCACTCTAACATGTTCAGTTTTTTTACATGTGACCAATTCTAAGTCAGAAAGTGTCTTGCAACTGATGTAATAAGAAAGAGCTGTATCATAGTTTAAACAGTAAATATTTTTTCTTTTTTCTTAGTGGTAATATAAAATGGTTTTTTCCCCGTACAACTGGTGGTGGCTTAGATTCAATGAAGTATGGTACTTGACACTCACTAATCAAGTATTAAGACTCACACTGCTCCCAATCCAGCCATCACTTTACCCCAAAAGCTTCTTCCACTTTAATGACTCCCTTAGCCTTCATCATCAGCTTCTAGCTTTCCTCTGCATCTTTAGGACCATGTCTAGCTACTTGTAATGATGAGAAATAGTGCTGCGTATGTCCACTCTTTATGTACCATCAGTAGAGAAACAGGGCCACAGGGAGAGGCAAGTGGTGGTGGTTTCAGGCTCCGTTTACTGCAGACACAATGACAGGCACCTTCTCCATTCTCATTGGTGGATGCTAAGGGCCTTGGCTGCCGCAGCACACAAACTTAACCAGGTCCACACAGCGATACTTTCACTCATCAAAATGCATACCTTTCAGAGAATTGCTAGTGATCTTAAGACAATGTAAAAGCATTGTTTTAGATTCTTAATGAATAAATTAATCTTCTTTTGAGGACTAATATGTTCTGAAGCACTGTGAGTACAAATTAACAAGAGGAAAACTGAAATGTAGTACTTTCTATTAAATAAATAGCTAAAATTTCACTGGGATGAGGAAAGAATGATATAAAAAAAAGGAGGCAGAGTATGAGAAGAAGGAAGAAGAAACAGAGCAGGAAAAAGAAAGAGGAGGAGGAGCATATGGGGAAGACAGAAGAACTTTAGTTATGGTAAAATTAGTATAGTACAGAAGCGATCTAGGTCTTTGGAGGCATAAAAACAGGGTTTAAATGGATCGTCTGCCACTATGACCTTGGGCAATTTACATCACTTTTCCTTACTATAAAATTGGGATAATTATAGTGCCCACTCCTTGGGTTATATGAGTGTGTAAAACACTTAGTGCCTGGATGTGATAAGCATTCAATATACTTTTATATTTGTGTCTCTTTAAAACTGAGTATTAATATATTTCAAGTACTTTGCTAAGCTTTTGAAATAAATGAATTTATGTATCTAACCAAATCTGTGTATATTATACTTATTTATGTATATCATGTATGTTATCCACCCATACATCAACACACCCACACACCTACCCACCCACCCATCTACCTACCTATCCATCTATTTTATTCTTTTCACTTACAGGCAAGGGGATCAAATGCTTAGGGTCACAGAGTTAATTAGTAGAAAAGATAGAAATAAAATCTTGGGTCTTTGGCCTCCAGTCAATACCCTTTAATTGTTAACTACATTATATCAGAGTAAAGGTAAGTTTTAATGCATATTAATATTTGCCGTTTGACCTCTATAATGGGCAGCCTGAGAACAGCACACTTCCGGAAAACTAATGAACTATTCATTTTTGGCACCGAATATTAAGATTACTAACAAACCCTATGTACATGTCCATATACTCCCATGAAAAGAAAAGAGTACATGCATTTTGTATTATGACTTTCTTACCTGGTCCATTAAGAAAGTCTTTAATTTGTAGCATTACCAGGGAAGGTGGAATACCACTTTTGCTGTCTATTTCTCCAGGCACCGTCTGTAGCCAAACTGTGCAGTAATCAAGGGCTTCAGGCAGAGTCTTCCCAGGATCTGAAGTGACAAAATTGAAACGAAAAATGTCAATTACATCACAAACGTCTCATTTTGGTGCCAGACTCAGCTGACAGAGATGGGGGAAAACCTGGTTAATTATTTATGTAACCTTCATTGGTTCATCTGTATACAGACAGAATACTCATTTGTAACACAAGTGTTTGCATGGAGAAAAAGCAGCTCTCTTTGCACAAGGTGAAAGGATAAAACCATGTTTTCCAGAACCAGGCCCAAAGGAAAAGACATTTCAAATCTTAACTAATACCATCTTTGAGTGAAGGTAAAGTTTCTGTACGCTGAGCTGCTGACCGTTAACAGTTGAACAGTTGTATTTCTTTTCTTTTTTTTTAAACGGGATGTTGGAAACAAATTAAAGAAAAAGTGCAACCTTTTCAGCTTAAAAAAGCATCTACATGTTCAAAGCAGCAGTGGATTAGTACTACTTAAGGGTTATTTGATCTGTTTCAGAGTGTTACTGACATTACAATCACTTTTTACTGCTAGGCTTTTGAAGTTAACTTCAGTAGCTTTCCCATAACCTTCTTTAATGATAAAAATTGGTCGATCTTTTAATAGTCCCAATTATAACTAAAATTGGACTTTTTCTGGTTTAAGTTTTTCTATTAAGTACAGTGTATTTTTTAAAAACTTTTTTCTCGTTAATATTGCATATAGTTTTTAAAAGCATTTTTTTTAGCAAACGGATGGCAAACGGAATTTTCTTTTTAATGTTTAGCAAGCCAGTTTTTATTGAAATAGCTCTTTAAATAAAAACAACTGCTGTGTCTTGGCATACAATGTAGTAGGCTTTTTAAAAACTTCTAAATATTCACAGTTTTTCTTTAGTTTCAAGATTGTTTTACTCTCTGTGTTTTAATGGCCTCTGAATGTCAATTTTATAGGGATGTTCTTGCCATAGAGTCCATCTATTCCATTTTCAGTTGATTTGAAATGTGTTATTAAAGTGTTATTTATTTTAGGTTTTATTGATTGGATGACTTTCAAGAATAGCATTTACATACAGTGTATTATATTCAACATATGGCTATACAGTATTACTGTCATATGTGAACTGGGCATATAAATTCTGCCTTGGAATTTGTATTTCCTGACCTTATCATGTGATCCTTATGAAATTTGGCATATGAACCTTTATGTGATTTCAAAGAAAATACTGAAAGCAATTGATCGTGACGTTAGATCTATGTGGTAAAGATCAAACACTAAACTAGTGCATTCTTCTCTTTTTATATGATCAGTGAATTTAAAGCAGTGAGAATATGCATAGTAGATCCATTACATAGTAACACTATACTATTTTCTCTTTTAAATATAATGGTCAAGTCTGGGGAAAGGATGTCAAATGTCTGTTGTTGGGAGGATCTACAATGAGTCCGGAGGAGCTATGGACCTGCCAGGGCCTCACCCATGTAGCCATCAAGAAGCTGTTATTATGAAGTAAGTGGTACTGTGTCAGACCTATACAAGACATAATTCCTTATTTTGAAGAAAACACAATCAAGAGAGAGAACAATAATCTAACAGAGAAAACAGAAATCAGATGTAAGTATGTAACTAACTAAATAATGAACAGAGATGAATTCAGTTGATGTAGAAATATTGTGTGTAAGAAACTGGCAAGTAAAACTCATACTGTTAAATAAAACAAGCTATAGGAATCAGATATCCAAACTTGTCTGAGAGAATAGGGATATCATTAATACAGAGCATTCATATAAACAACGGATATCAATAGAAAAATGTATAGAGGATAGATAAGCAATTATTAAATGAAGAAAATTAATAAATAAACAACAATAAACATTTAAAAATATAAACATTAAGAGAAATTCAATCTTAGCAATAATCAAAGAAAATATTTTTTAGTAAGTAGGCCTATCAGATAGGCCAAGACTAAAAAAATCGATAATGTCTGTGTAATACACATATATGTGCGATAGAAAACAGAAAGCATGAAACAAACAAAAAGCCTTATGGACACAGACAACAGTATGGTGGTTACTAGAGAGGAAGGGGGAAGGATCTTTAGGATGATCCGAAGCACATATATGAACCTAGAATTTATTCAGAGCTGAAAAAAAAATAGGACAACACGGCATTTATAAAAATTAAAATAATGGGGAGATAAAAAAGCACTTCAAGGTTATGTGATGTCCTGCCTTCATCAGGTATACACTGGGGGAACAGCAAAGAATGATAATGTGAGTGAGCGTTTTACAAGCAGGGGAGGTGGGCCTCATGCAGATTGCCTCTCTTTCAGTAGAAGTTGGAGGACCTGCATCTGGCACCCAACCTAGGAATCTGCATTAGGGCAATTACAGGACGATATGACTTAGACAGAAAATAAACAAACTGGCAATAGACTAGGAATAAAGAAAATGGAAAAGTCTAGGAAATGTATACAAGGAAGCCAAAATTTCAATGACTATTACCCAACAAAATATTACTGGCTTAATGATATTGTTGGTTTAATTACTACACAACCAGTTTAGAAGTGCAGCTGTTACTTCCAGAGCTGATAGAAAAGAACTGAAATTAGGAACCTCCAGGAAAGTAAAGGTTGCATGGTTGATGAATACTGAATGTTTGACAAGGCTGGTGGCCACTCTCCAATTTTTGGTTAAAATCTCCACTCTGAATATTCCTGTAGTCATTGTGGTTATAGGAAGCAGCAGTAGTAAGAGAAAGACATGTCAAAATCCCAGTCACTGTTTAGTCCCTTATACTCTAATGGCTAGATAATGAGGGTATGACTACTAGACTTCCGTTACTGTCTTCAATTTAACTTCTGAATTCCATTATCGGGCCTAGAAAATAGGATTCGTATTACACATCCCTCAGGGTCAATATAGCTGGGAAAGCACCAGATAAACTAAGATTAAAGGAGCCTGTGGATATAATATAAATGGAGTGACAAATAGGGAGACTGTTTCACTGGAAGCTCCTTCAGACTTTGCTAGTTTTCTTTTCATACTTTGCAAACACATATTTATTTGAATACAGGAAGCTCTTAAAATTAATAAGCTTCTCCTAATGTTGATGAGCACATTTATCTCTAAGCCTAAAAAGTAGGAGAAAACCACATCATATTGGGAGTAACAGACTGTGGGAAATGGGTCAGAAAAATGACAAATTGCTCATAGCCATAAATCTTGTTCAAAGTCAGCTAGAATTCACTTCAATAAGAAAAACAAATATTATAAGTTATTATAACTTATAATATTTGTTTTTCTTCTGGGTTGACCTGGCCTCCAAAAATAAAAAAAAGATAGTTCATCATATCCTGCCACAAGAAACAACCAAAGATAAGATTCAGAAAGTCTCAAGTCCATTTCCAGATGGATCAGGTATTGTTGGCTTTCACAGATAGGTGCTTCCGATTGTATTCTTCATGCCTGCAGATTACTTTGTTCTTCTTCCCAAAACCTTCATCTTACTTAACTGCTTGGAAGGTCTTCCTCTGAAATCTGATTCTTTAGAGCTGCTCATTATTATTATTATTTTTAACCCCTAGCAAATATTCAGAGTTAAGTATGTCTTTGCTTAACATTTGAATTAATAAAATATAACGTGACTCATTGTCCCCAACTCAAAACAAAACTTTGAAAATGAACTAGTTTATTTTCTTTGCAATCTTATACTTAACATAAAATTTTATTTTCCACACTGATACGGAATAGCTGAATGCTACAGATTTTGTCGGCTTTATTATTAACTCTGCTTTGTTCTACTATGTGGCAGGATAATCCTTTTCCATAACTAAGTTGAAAGTTTACTAAGGCGCCAATGAGAAGACATTTCCCCACAGATTTTAGTGGTGATTTTCTCATTTTAAGTTTGATATAACACTGAATATATAATGAAGTCCAATTACTTTTCCACCAGATACTTCTGTTATCTGCAGACAAAAAGTTTTAAATTCTTTTGCCAGGTGAATAAAGAACTTTGAACTTTAAAAAGCCTAATGCCATAAGAATCTCTTCATTTGAAAGCTACATATCATTATAAAGCGGGCTAGAGTGAGCTCTACACCAACATAATTTTCTCTCTCATTTGCCCCTTTCTCACAGTAACTTGATTAACCACAGGTTTATAAGGAGTTGATATGTGCCTCTGTCTGCCTTCTCTTGTGCACTTTTGTGTTTAAGAACCTCTCTACGAGTGGATTGGTTAACACGTTAAGTGCCCTGCCTGTTTTGTCTTCTGGATGGAAAGTACAGTGTCAGTCATTGGTGACTGACTGGGTGTTTAATGTGTTAAGGGTGGGCAGAAAGAGAGGTTAGTTAGCCCAATAGTTATTTTCTCTGACAGTTCCAGGCAAAGTTTCTATTGTGGAAAATGCAAGAAACTATTGTCACAATAATGGTTTTTGATCCTTGGGTTTAATTTTCACATGATACTCTTTTCTTTGACATTTCTGTGAAAAACTGGTGCTAACTTAAGTGTCAAGAAAACAGAATTTTCCTATAGTGGAGAGTTCTTGCAACCTGGTGTTTCTGGAAAAAAATCTTATTAATTGAAATTTGGGGGATGAGTCTGAAAAATAAACTTCTGATTAACTGGGTTGTGGTGTGCCTCATTTTAACCATGTTTTCTTCCCCAAGTGAATGGTTTGACATCTTACTCCTGGTATGAGCTTCTTGCTGTATTAAATAGATCTTGCTGCTGCTTGCAATCCTGGGTAACAAAATCTTGCTCAATATTATCAACAACTTTTGGAATTACATCATGCTTTAATTTCCAAGCCTATGGATGCTAATGTTAGCATTTCGATGATATGTAATTAAAACTGTTCCCTAAACTACTATCGCAGATTTACATTTCAGTAGCTTTCTGCTTTGATATCTTATAGCATTTGAGTTTTCTTTCTGTTAGTAGAGGATAAAAGTATCGCAAAGACATCAGAAGCATAAAATTAATGCTTATATGACGCAGCACTGCAAATCGCCTCAAGATTTACTTGTCTCCATTTTATT